TACACGTATTTTTCGTTCGTTTTCGCTAGAGATGCCTTGATACGAACTATTGAGACGTTCGTGATCTGTCTTCCACAAGTCCTTGTAACAATTGTACACGTCATAATCGGTGAGGGTAAAAACTTCCTTCCCTTCCAGAGTTATACGTATTTTCTCGACGAGTGATCTACCGATATTGTTGACGATTGTTCGATTTACGTCTACGCTCGAGGTTAGAATTAGATTAAAGGCGAGTCGAGCTGTACCCGGAACTATAGCGTCGTCGTCGCCGAGATCCGGAAATCTAACTCGCAAAACATCACCGGGGCCAGCTTCGTTTATCTGATTCATGACCGTGGTAAAGACGCGTTTATCGTTTCTATGGTCGGTATTTTTGGTCTTTGCCGATCTATTGGCGCTTATTTCGTGATGCATTTTTTATAATAGCAACTTTTTTTAATCTGTTAATTGTTTGCACTCTATAATAAAATGGCAGATTTACCTATGCACGATTTTACCGAAGGTCGCGATTACGATGATTTTGACGACGATAAAGAAACGAATCTCGATTGGGACGATCAAGGTTTCGGAATCGACGGCAGAGAAGATCAAGCCGTCTTTGACAGAGATCAAGCCTCTCTTGCGAGATTAGACATGAGGCTGCAATCGTACAGGCAATTTCTTATGGAAGAAGGATATAACGAGGTTAAACTGACCGACAAATCTAGATTTATAATCAAGACAAACGCATTGAAACAAGACGAGTTGTTTTTTATAAATAACAACAAACCAATATCGTTAACCTGGTCAAAAGACGCGGTAAAATTCCGTAAACTCTCGACGACCAGAATAAGCGCCGCAGAAATTAAAGAATACATTGCCGGGGATTATAATGCGGCCAGTCGAGCTAGCGGTTCGAGACAAGCTCTTAAAAGCGTATACGAACAAGTGGAAGAGATTGAATTGGATAATTTAAATCCGACAGATACGACTCTGTTGATAGACGATCTCGAAAACGAACTAGACGAGTCAATGTTTCAATCTACGAGTCTAGGCGTTCAAACAAATATCCAAGCTAGAGAAATCGCGGGTGTTATGGATGCAATGACTACGGTCAAAGAGGAACTCGCGCTTTCTCTGGCAAAACTCAGAAAGATTAACGAAAAAATAGCAGAGTACAAACGAGAATGGCGTGAGATGAAGGAACAAAACGCAACGTCTGAAGAGCTGAAACAACTCGAAGATCAGATACGAAGCTTACAAATAGAAAAGGATGGTATACTGCAAATTGTAGAAACTAATACGGGTAGGGTAAAGAATCAAGTCAGGGAGATACAAGGTACCATCGGTAGAATGTTGGGTGACGATTTACGACTGAGAGATAGATTAAAGATTCTGTTTCGTGAACAAGGGATAACTATCGCTAGTATTATCACGGCTATAGGTTCGATCATTGCGTCGTTGATTGCGATATTTACCGGCGGAAACACGACTTCTCCTCCTGATCCTGAACCGACTCCGGATCCTGAACCGACTCCTGAACCGACACCGGATCCTGAGAAACCTGATGGATGGCTTAAAAAACACCTGAAAAACTTTGCCGAAATCCTGAAAAAGCTCGGTGATAAGGCTCTTTTGGCGTTACCCGGAATTATCGGAGCTGTTGTAAGCTTTCTACTAAAAACAGCCGGTAACGTCGTTGGCTTTGTAGCCGACCGTGTTTGGTTGTTGATTCTGTTCGTTGCCGGAATCGTTTACAATTATCTGGTAGCGAGCGTGAAAACTAACTCCAAACCCTCGTCATCTCGTAAACGAAAAAAGTAACGACTGCGAAACCAACCACCATCGAAACTTTGTCGAATTCGTGCTCGGAGAGCTTTGGAGACTCTGCGAGTGTTGGAGTCTTGCCAAGATCAGCGGGAGCGGTGGCTGGTGTCGGAATCGTAGGTGACGCCGCAGGTATTGCATTCGGCATCGTAGTCGGCATCGTAGTCGGCGTCGGCGTCGGCGTCGGCGTCGGCGTCGGTTTGATGGGAATCGCTAGCGATTCGATGGGCTGATGTGTATAAGAGACAGATTCATGACCGTGGTAAAGACGCGTTTATCGTTTCTATGGTCGGTATTTTTGGTCTTGACCGATCTATTGGCGCTTATTTCGTGATACATTTTTTATACGGCAACTTTTTTTAATCCGTTAATTGTTTGCGCTCTATAATAAAATGGCAGAATTTGTACCCATGGACGAAATTGGCGAACAGGATTACGCTAGCGAAAGTCGCGTCGACGAGGATTGGGAGGATGAAAACGAAGCGATTCGTCATTAGATAAAATGCATTGTATCAATACAGACATCAAAAATGGTGTTTTAAACCGATTCGAGTATCCGTTGGATAACCGAGAGGGGAATATGCAAATTGCTTTAAAAACCATAACTAGAACGGTTGGATATTTCAACGTGAAAGAAAATATATCCATTTTAAAATATATCATCGTAGAGCGTGAAGGCAAAGAAATTTACGAACAAGGACGGGTACTATTAACGATTACTCCAGGGTTTTATACGTGCGAAGAAATGATAAACATTTTTAAAAATAATGATGCTCTAAAACCATACATTGCTCATATGCTGTTGGATAGAAGCACTGGTAAAGTTAAATTAAAATTTAAATCACCAGAGGGAACCGACGAAAATTTTTTAATTGTTTTCGGTCCGGTGCTGGCTGCATTCTTCAAACTGGGTATTGCTCATTTCAAAAGGAGAGAAGTTTACAGTGGTACGTCATATTGCCGTAACACCCCATATAGGATGCATGTTCACCTCCATGAACTATCGAGCAAATGCACTCTTTTAGATGGGCACGCATCCTTTATTCTCGATACTCTTACCATTCAAGATAAAAGACTTGGAGAAGTTGACCCCTCTTCTCCAAAAAATCAAATTTTTAAACCCCTCCAAATGGGAATGATTCAAGGGCTTACGTTTAAAGTAACGGATGAACAAAACAAACTTGTAGATAATAGAGGTGAAGACATTACGATTGAGACTATAATTAAAAAGGTGATATAATTAAAAATGGATGAAATAGCTGCAGATGTACCGCTTGAGGCGGAAAAATTTAGATTGAACAAGATTAGCGAGATGCTAGATGATATTAAAAACGATGAGGTGGAACGAGAAAAACTATACAAAAAATATAAAAAGACACAGAGTATCGTAGACTGGATCGATACCAGCTTGAATACCCTGTCTATCGTTTCCGCCGCAGGTGCAATCGGCGTTGCAAGTACGGTCGTGTTGGGTCCTTTAACCATCGGTCTCGGTTCGTTGGCTGCCGTCTGTTGCGGGTTAAATTACGGTGGAAAATATCTGAGTAAAATGTTTGAAAAGAAGAGCGAAAAACACAAAACCATACAGATTATTTGCAAGACTAAACTAGGTACAATCGATAGCATCGTTTCCACCGCTTTGGAGGATAATAAAATTAGCGATCAAGAGTTTAAACTGATCCTAGAGGAATATCGCAAGTATCAAGAGATGAAGCAAGATGCCATAGTAATGGGGAAAAATGCAATCGACTCGCTAAAAACAAGATTGGCTCAAGAGGCTGCAAGAGGGAGATTGAGTTGAGACTAGATGCGAAAATGGCTTTTTCGTATCGATGACGTCATCGGGGTCGATGACGTCATCGGGGTCAAATGATGTTAAATGAGGTCATAGGTCAAATGATGTTAAATGAGGTCATCGGGGTCATCGGGGGTCACGTGATGTCATCGATAGGTTGTTTGCAAAAAGTTGGGTATGGTCGGGAAATTTAATGTGTTAAATGCCTATGGCCGGGGATTTTAATGTATTAATAATGTCTTTGGCCGGGGAATCTTAAATGATGTCATCGAGGTCATATGTCATATGTTATCATAGATAGGTCGTTTGCAAAAAGTTGTGTAATGGTCGGGAAATTTAATGAGTATGCCTATGGTCGGGAAATCTTAAATGATGTCATCGATATCATATGTCATCGATATCATATGTCATATGATATCATAGATAGGTCGTTTGCAAAAATGCTTATGGTCGGGAAATTTAATGTGTATTAATAGTGTATTAATGTCTTTGGCCGGGAATACTCATAAACACCCTACTCCCAGGCCTACTCGGAGGCTTAAAACGGTCTTAAATAATTTCCATCATGACGTTCTGCTGATAAATTCAACAGTGCAATGGCAAGACCTAGGCCT